TTGATCGGCACTATTTAACTGACAATCTTGTTTGCTATTACCACTATCACCATCTTAAAAAAAAATTTTTTTATTATGCATGATTCCTCACACTACCACTACAAACACTGCATTAGTGCTGACAATAAAAAAAACAAAACCTGAAATGTTTATCTTATGATTGCTTAGTGTTGTTCAATCAAATTAACTGATCATCTTAGCTATAAACATTTTTTTTAAGAACATCTCATAATTTCCCGTATGATTATAGCTGTTACTGTTCACCACGCATACCCATATCGTAGCTTCCACTAACCAATACTGAAATATTTTTTTCATTATTTGTGTTTATCTTCCTTTTTACTTGGTATTTTTATTGCATTTTTTATTATTTCTGTGTTTCTTTTTTGTTTTTTGTTGTTATTGTTTTTTTCTTTTTTAAATATTTTTTTTATAATACTCCTTTTAAATGTACGATGAAATTAGATGCAATATTGTAGATATGTGCTGAAAATTCCACACTGTACAACAAGTACTGTTTCTGGAATAAAGCGAAATTGTTATTATTCTTATTGTCAGTTCCCGAAATATGCTGGATGACTAAGCAGACTTCGAGTGAGGATCCTGCAATGATAGAGTTATGCAACTCCATCCAGCAGATGTTTAGGTCAAACATGCATTCTAAATCCTCCGACCGTCGTCCTAAATCTCCTCAACGCAGGAACTACGTGGTCGATCTAAGTCCAAACCACGTTCACTGAAAAACCCTGACTGGTGCTGGTACCACAACACCTATGGCCAAGAAGCGAAGTGTTGCCGTAAGCCTTGTAACTTCGGAAATGTCTCAAAGTCTGTGGGAAACTATCCCGCCGGCACGCGTTAGCGGCAACCGTCGCCGGTGGCACTAGCCGCCTACTTTACATCCATGATGTGATAAGCCAGACTCGATACTTAGTCGACACAGGCGCCGAAGTCAGCGTCCTTCCTGCTACAGCAGCAGATCGACAGAAGGAACCTACCTTCAACTTACAGGCTGCAAATGGAAAACCAATCGCAACCTTTGGTAGGAAATACGTCTATCTGAACGTAGGTTTACGCAAACCTATTCGATGGATTTTCCTTCTCGCTGACGTTACAATGCCCATCATTGGCACGGACCTACTTAATCATCATGATTTACTCGTAGACGTCCGCCGAAAACGACTGATTGACAATACTACTAGTCTGTCTATCAAAGGCATCAGCTACATAGGCCCTAGTTTTCACCCGTTAAGATAAAGGCAATCCTTGATCCAACTTTTCAACCTATTGTTGACAAGTATCCGGAACTTAACTGCCCGTCGAACGACCTACCGTGCATAACCAGCAATGTTATGCACCACATCATTACCACAGGACAACCTGTGACATCTAAAGCACGACGATTAGCTCCTGACAAACTGAGAATCGCCAGGAATGAATTTGACCATATGCTTACCCTTGGCATCATTCGACCTTCGAATAGCCCATGGGCATCCCCACTTCATATGGTTCCGAAAAAGGATAGCAATGATTGGCGACCCACCGGTGATTACCGGCGAGTGAATGCCAAAACAACCCCTGATTGCTACCCGTTGCCTCATATACACGACTTGACGGCAACCTTATCCGGCGCGACTATATTCTCCAAAATCGACTTGGTTAAAGCGTATAACCAAATCCCGATGGCAACAGAAGATATCCCGAAAACGGCTATCATTACGCCTTTCGGACTTTTTGAATTTCTACGTATGCCATTCGGTCTCCGGAATGCAGCCCAAACATTCCAACGCTTCATTGACGAAGTATTTCGCGGTCTCGACTTTGTATACGCATACTTAGACGACTGCCTCATTGCCAGTCCAGACAAGGAAACTCACCTTAGGCACTTGGACTTGGCATTTGACAGGTTACGCCAACATGGTGTTACCATTAATATTCAAAATGTCAAATCGGTGTTGACTCACTCGACTTCCTGGGTCACACTATTGACTGCAAGGGCATTCGCCCACTGGCTACTAAGGTTGAGCCTCCTAAGAAAAACCGTTCTGGACGCACCGTAAGGTTCCCAGAATATCTGCACACTTTTTTGACTTAACGAAGTCGTGTGATTCACGCAACTCATTCGTTTGTGGTACTGACTATTTTTTTTTCAACAGTTCATGTAACATACACAAAAATTAATTAGATGTATTTTTTTTCGATGTTCTGAACTTAGCATTATTTTACTGTATAGTAAATGCACATAATTTTTTTTAACCAAACAGCTCATTTCGTACATTTTCCTCGACATGGTTCTTAGCGTTCTTGTTTTCTTTTCCAGGTGCGACGGGCACTGGACAGGAAACAAACGAAGCACGGAATCCAACAAACAACAACAAGGAAGCTATGTACAAACACCCTATTAGCATAGGCAGACAAACCAGTAGGCACCCCACCTAGCCGCTCGGAAGGTATTTTTCACCCGCAAGGGAACCATCGAGTTTTTTGACTTCCGGCTGGTTCTGTCTTATGGTCCTCACGACCCCACTAGGGGGGGAGTGAGCTGCAGCGGTAAATAATTCCCCAAAATTATTGACCACAGCAATCACTCATTGGATGCTGACCACCACTGTTTAAGTGGACTTGTTTAGCTGAAGGCTTCCGGTCAAGCATCCCCGCCATTTGGTACCCCGTCGTGTCACGTGCACGATCACTAGCTATCTAAGCGTTCGTCTGACGGCTTGTTTTGGTCCCGAAATATGTCACTTAGTTTGCGCGATCAAATATTGGCTTTTGCTTTGTTGTTGGTACGCGAGAATAATTTAGAGGCTGTGTAAGAGAATTCCGTCAACCTCTAAAGCATCAATACACCAGTCATCTTCTCATCGATCGGTGTTCAAAAAGCACGTACAAAACCGTCAGAAGTATTATTGTGGTTTATTATTGTAATATTTGTTCATATACCTTACTTGTAAAGTTGGCTACATGTTGGTTTTAGAATAAAGAATTCTCGGATCGCCAATCTGTGTTCTGGTTTTTGCGGCCGTTCGTACTAAGCGTTTCTGAGAAGCTTCGAGGAACAGCGTTGGGCCCAGCAAAAGCTTGGCATTAACGGTTTACGATACGTGACTGACAATTCAGCATAACAATTTATTATATAACTGATCGTACGCGTAAAAGTGTCATCATTTCTTGTAAGCCTACCCGTTCATTCGAAATATAAATTGTTATTGTTGAATAATTATTATTAAATAATCAATATTTACTTTTGCGTTTAAGGCATAAAAATTCTTGTGGGTGTTCTGATCACGAAAACTCTCCTAAATGTTGGAAATAATCTTCCTGATGATCATTTTTGTGCTTCTACCAATTTAATCAGGGTTTCACCAAAAACGTGATTTGTGTTTAAGATTTACGGCTTCATCATATCATCAAATCTATCTAACAGTAAGGTCTCGCCTAGTTTTGAGGTTCTTGCCATATTTCCGTCGTTGAGAAGCATCAACTAGCTAATGGACCTTGTCCGGTTCAGACCGACTTATACTCTGGATGAAAAATATCGATAGCAAATCTCACATGTGTGGTGTGCAAGTTTCACTCGATCTAGAGTAGAAAGTGTGCAACACGAAGTTGTGTAGACTTATGGGCAGAATCTCGGGTGAGGCTTGTGGGTTGTCGAAAAACACTTAAAAACATAAAGACCTATGGAAGTTGTCCAGGAATCTGTGATTATTAATACCGTGACGTTAACTGAAGTACGCGAAAGAAATTTGCAAATCTGAGTTGTGCCACTCTCTCCATTATTTTTCTCCTATTCTTCATTATATTGCGGAACAGTTTGAGCAGTGCATCAAAATATATGTTGAGTTTCTGCATCCGATATTGAAAACCACGTGATTTTGACAAAGAACCAGTATACTGTGGAGGTTAATAGTGCAAATTATGAGAAAATGTAGATCGCTAATGAACATTTGGCTTACGTCTATAAAAAGTGTCATGATCAGTCAGCTGTCGAATTCAGATGAAAATCAGCAGTATCAGAATGATATTATTAAGAATTTGGAGGATGGAAACATCACTATTAGTGTTCCCAGTGTAAGTATCTTGTTGCACCCCCACACCAACTGTAACCATGGTTTTTAATCTAATTTGTATACAGACCGGTTTTATATGTACTTCGCAAAAGTCTGTCAATTTACTGTTGAATATTACCATGACACAATTTTAAAATTTGATTGCGGCTATAATACACAGTCGTACTCTTCGCAAGTGCCTTTTGGTTTTACGTTGTGGGCGTCGAGTAGCCACAACGTGTATGCACATTAATAAACGTGAAAATATACTTGGAAATACGTGTGCGTTGATTTAGTCAAATAACGCACGCAACAAACTCTTAAAATGGCTTTACTCCAGTGAATTGTCTTCTTCCTTCAAAGATCTCCACAAAAGGAAAATGAAAGTTCTGAGACAGAACTTGACACATTCTCGAAACTTGAATATGCTCTGTTTTCGTAGGTCTGAAACTGCATTGCCTAAAACAGCATGAGGTTGTTAACATTTAGCAATAATTTTGTCGCAAGGTTTGACTGCAGTGTGCTGCACCGCATACAATCTTACACATGGGAAAATACCTCTTAATTTCGTCCCAAAATGTTACACGGAACACTAAAAAATAGATGTTAGGCTTGAAATTGCTAAAATATAAAATATTTTCTGTCAGGACGTGAGTTATGAGACCTTGATGAAAGTATGGGCACCAATGTTGGACACTCTAGATGAAAGATGAGAGATATTTGTTGTCTTTGAAATTAATAAGAAGTATACAATGTATACGCTTCTTTTGACTTAGGCATTATCTTAGTTTATATTATTTCAGGTTCTCTAATTGGTTTTGGAAAAATGACAACAGACAGTATTAATAAAACTGAGAACCAAAAATCTGAATTTTACAGCACACAAATTAACAGTTTTAAGTTTACTACTTCTGCAAAATGAACATGTAGTAGTTTTCATTTGGATCAGTTAGCCTTGGTGTGCATTTAATTTTCAAGGACATCTATCGTTATTGTCGTGCAATTACCTGTGAGGATTAATTTTGACTTCAAGAATAGACTTTTGCATTAAAAACTCTGTGTTGCTTAAAGTTTTTATTGCAATGAACTTCTAAAATTTGATGGAACTCCACTGTAATGCATGTGAAAATACAAAATAAAAGTGAAATCAGGCTCAGAGACAAGTAGTGCTGTTAAAATCATCCATAGACTCCAGTCGATCATGAATCGATTTTCCCTAGCTTACAACTATTCTGAATTAAATCTCTCAAATTAAGAACTAACCATGATGAGTAAATTCCGATATTTTGTTCTTTGCACTGTTAAAAACCCTTAAGGCAACACAATTGTGTTTTTAATAATAATAATGTTTTTTTTATGTTGTCGAAATGTTAGTGACATATCCTAGCTAAACTATTAATGAATTATTAAATCCACTAAGAATGGCTGATGATTATTGAAACTTATTTTATGTACGTAGCTTCGTAAAAATTAATGGACATATTAAAGTACTTTAAATTGTAAGACTTGGTTCTTTGACTAGAATTTATCCTGTCTACCAAATATATACAATAACATGGTTTTATGTTAACTAAAGTTGCTCTCATACATTCCTGTGTTTTGCTCAACAAGATTCAATTCTCTTATGACAGTAGAATCTATCCGTCGCCATCTCGTACGAAGCTTTAGTCAAACACATTTTAGTCTTCCATCAAACTGATGGAGATTAAGAAAATGAGCTTCGAAATTTTGACTGTAAATAACCTCACTGTATATTTAGATAAGTTTCTAAAGGCCTGTTTTCAAATTAGAAACTTCTGTTGAGTAATTGCAAGCTTGTAGTCAGTTTTAGAAGTACGTGATGTACTTTAATTAATCTAGGATGTCCACCATTTCTGCTAACCTAAATAAATTTGTCTTCAGAATTTTAAGAACTTTGAGGAGTGAATTCGTGCACGCCATTGTGAACCATTTTGACAAATGCTTCGGTGCCTAAATATTGATCACCAACGTCATATTCCATATCAGACGGCTTATACCTCATTATACGACTTAATCTAGCCTCTAAAGACTCAGGATGGTCGGGGGTGGGTGCCTTGCGCTGCGGGTTGGCCACCCCTCCATACACTTCTTGAAATGCTTCCATATGACCGGGCGTCTTACATAGCCTCTCCTGAGGAAGTCCTACTCACTGCCTTCACGTGGCGGAGGTGTTTTTCACCGAAGTGAGAGGGTGAAAGCGGATGCCTGGCGCTCTTCACCGGGTTGACTGTCCATTGGATGACAGTCTAGGGGAGATGGCTAAAACCTGATTCCAAACCTCCAACGACTGGCGTATGAAGCTCACCGGAGCTCACGGGCAGACGTATGGACAAAGGGCTTATTGGATGCCCTGGATGTCTGGCCCCATTCAAAAAGGCGTATGAACCGGACTCCGGTCACCGACTGCCAATGGATAGTGGGCTCCCTACTCCACTCCTACTGCCTTGTAGGTCACACTTGGTTGTGTAAAGGCTAGAGCTACACTCTCAAACAAAAGGCCGAGCGATGCTGGGGACATCACTCATACCTAATTCCCATGAAACTTAATGAACTCTCTTACACAGACTCGAGGTAGTTGATCATTGGTGCCTCTGGTACATTCTGCATGTTCGTTGGCAGGACAAACTCTCCAACGAAGAAGTGCGTCGTCGTTGCTACAACATCAACCAAATTCCAGTACTGGTCCAACAACGTCGCCTTCGGTGGTTTGGCCATGTTCTGCGCCGACCAGATGACGATCTGGTCAAATCGGTTCTAAATCCCTCGCCATTTCCATCTTGGCGATGTCGCGGGGGTGGACAGCTGAAAACATGGCTTGGTACAGTCAAGGCTGATATGGAGTGCCTGGGGCTACAAACCGTCTACGGACTCCGTCTGTGGAACAGGAATTGCATAACCCTGTCGCAAAACCTTGCATCAGATCGCCGCGCCTGGGCAGCGATGATTCGAGATGTTCATGAAGCCGGCTTATCCTCCCGTAGGAGATAGCCGAAGTAAAGTAAAGTAATCTAGCCATCAGAGACTTTGCAGGTGAGTAGTATGTTTCGGTTTGGTCAACTCTAATATTTTCCAAATTTATTCATACATGAGCTAAGATTGTCTATGCGAATCCATAAACTCTTAAGCTTCACTGGTTTGCACCTCCTCTCAGCATTATTTAATCTGAATCCCTCCCAACCCATCCAGGGGAATAAACTTTTATTGTTATAGACTTGTCATCCTTTCTAACTGTGTTTTCAGTGGTCGTGCTTCACATTTGTGAAGTTATACTGAACGAACTGCTACTCAGTAAACGCATCTTTATATATTTTTTACCACAGGCCCTTCAAATGACTTTGAAAGTAGAGTGTTGCGTCGGCAAAATAACTGACTTGTTGTAGCGTAACTGGTCATCTTCTTAAGAGAAAATAAAGTACCTAGTGGATTTTCATGTAACCTGAAGAACTGTTGGGCATGTGAGTTACGCATTTCCCATTAAAAACGAAACTCGTGTTTCATTTTTATTGCACTGCGATTTATAAACTCAGCGTTGATACTTTTATAAGTGGTGCATTAGATTAGTGTTATCAAGGTTTCTAAAATAAAAGTGTAAGTTTTCTAAGTTATAAAATATGGCACCGTTTTCTTTGAAGTTACTATAGTATTTTGTTAAAACTGTTCAAAATGTTTTGTTCAAATGTGTTTTTCTATACTAAAGCAAGACTTTTTCAACTGTCTCTTGTGCCTAAAAGAAGTTTTCAATTTACCTACAAAATATTCACGTTTTCACTCCTTCAAAGCTGATTTCCTTCGACTTATGTCCTGGATGCAGATACATTTTTTGAAGTGTATAGTCAACTCCAGGAGACAAGTCAGTTTCAAACCACAAATTCATCCTAATGAAAGGCATTTAAACTTACGCTCCTCTTCATGTCAGGTTATGAAAGCTGCTGAGCAAAATGATAATATACAACAGTAACTAAGGCTTTTCTATCTGCTCATATAGACCATGTCATTGGCCTATGACTTCATAAAAAATGTCATCCTTATCTAGGGTTACTTCATTATATTTCCAATATATATTCATTCTTTACGTTTTCAGGCTAGAAGCATCTCTCTACCCCTATCTTTGTACAATTTTAAAAGCCTCAATTCGACTGGTTTCACCAGACTATTTGTCACGAATTACATTCTGGTAAGTGCAGGTATGGAACTGAGTGTAATTTTGAAATTATATGTTTTAATAGCAAAATAACAGGTATTCTATCATTTCAGCAATCACACAAAATAAATTACTTTCATTATTTCAGGTGTTTGTGTTTTTAGAATATGAAATTACACTTGTTTGAGTCTTCTTTTTAGTTTCTTGAAGTTTCTAATTGAATTCACCTCTGTAGAACATCAGAAGCTTTCGAAATTCCGAAAATGAACGTAAAGTACATGTACTTAGTTAATTGGTTTGTTCTGTATAAATTGTCTTTCATTCTACCTTACTTTAAACTATCTTTTGACTTTTATTCTTTCTTTGTTGTTCAGTATATTTTCCCTGCATGAAGTTTGAGTATACAAATGAAGATCTTATTTTACAGTCAAGTAATACCTTGTCTAAAGTAAGAAAAAATTCAAGCCTTTTTCTAAAATCTAGTTTGATAAAACTTTGGAATCCCTATGGGTTGAATCTTATGAAGGCAATCGTTTTCGATACAAAATTGATTTGTCAATGAAATCATTAAGGAAAGTTTCTAATGGAGATGTGAATATATTAATTTTAGTAAGTGTAGCCAAATAATTTTTTACATTTCAGCCTAATGATAATCGTTTCAGTCAACGACGCAAACCACAACCATTTAACGATACTGACGATCAAATTGCACCTGAATCCTTCAATTTTAATAAAGTTTCTACTGGTGAAATTTTGCTAGATATTTCTGAAAAACAGAGTACAGTGAGTGCATCATAATTAATTAAGTTCAGAAATCTTCTTTTATTCTAATAAACGTCAGTCCCTTTTCATATTTGCACTCTCTTTTGGTTCCAGAAATGGAAGAATGCTACAATCAGGTAAAATAAAAGTAATTTTTAATTCCTGTAGGTTTTAAGAAAGCAATCTCTCTACTTAGCTATCAAGTGTTTCCTTCTAAGTGCCAACAGGTTAGTTACTTATTTTCACTTTTTTCTGTAACTTTTGTAAAAAGACTGTAAGTAAAAGGCGTATCGTTATTTTATTATTAGTAGTGGAATTATTAATACTTGTATCGTGTGGGCATAAATTAGGTTTTCTCGGGCTGTTTACATAATTTAAAATCTCTTCTAAGTTGCAGATAAATAAGCTGGTTCTTTGATGTTTGAACCTTTTATCAAGTTATTCTATATACGAAATCTACTAGTGAAGTATCCCTTCATCCTAGCATTTATTTTAGTGAGAAAATCTTCATTTCTTAAAAATGTTATCAATTATCAAACTGTGTTAGCTACAACAGTCATAGAAGAATTTCAGCATAAAATCATGTTGAAGCTCGTAGTAATTCCTGTGTCTTTAGTAAGTCAAAGTAATATAAAGTTCAACGAAGAAAATCCTCTTTTCGACGATTTCATTTGCATAGCTGTACAATCGTATACATATATGTGTGAACTACAATAGACAATAACAATCAGTTTTCTCGTGTATATGTTAAAGTTTGACAGTGAATGGAAATACTAGAGTGTTAGAACTATTGCATAGAGGATTATGAGTCACAATCGATTAGATATGTAACAACAGAAGACAAGGGTCAGGCAACAGATCCTTTATTAAGGAAATCAACACATATTTATAGATTTCAATGTGCATATTATAGATTATTGTTAGCAGAAAAACACAGTCTTCTGATTGGTTTTTTCTCACAGAGTGTTAACCTTGCATCTCTTTGTGACTGTTTCTTGAATGTCAGATCATCTATATGTTAACTGCATCCGCCTACGCAAAGCTGCTCTTCTCATTTTTCTCACGACCAATATTGGGGACATAAACATTGACGTAAATTACTGTTCATCAATTTTGGCTAACAGCCAGCTCTCACTATAGATATATGAATGAATAACTAAATAAATAGAGGTCAACTTAAAGTTCTATAAACATGCGTGACATAGATGATCGGAAAATAAAGTACATTTGGAAATGTGAATATGTGAATATAATGTGGTGGAGTTGTAGGATGAGTGAAATGTAGTCAAAGTAGTAGACTAGATAAAATGTTAGAATATGATAACATAAAGTTGAATAAAATAAAACAAAGCAAAATGGAACATGGAATAAAGAAGGATACCAAAGTTATTATTTGGATTACTTAGTAAAATCAAGATCACAGTAACGAAAGAGATCCTACAATTTGTTTTTGTACACAAAGTTCTGGTTTTATGTTGTGTACTGCCAAAGCAAATGCAATTGTTTCCCTTTCGACAAGCTTTGTCGGACTTTGTAGACTATATTAAACGATATATCAGATGCTGCGTGATCAGTATCTACAATATGTTGCAATATCGATGAATTAATACCTCTAAGTTCTCTTCTGCTCAGCCAAACTGGGAGGTGCTCTCGAACACGACGGGATATGTTTCTCGACGAACGTCCTGTGTACTTAGCTCCGCAAGAGCAGTTTAACATATAAATACTCATGGAATTAGACAATCGAGGTAACATTTCCTTGACATTAAGGTGCACTAGTAGACGGCTAGAGTATGTTATTCGTAAAATGGCAGCACAGAGAGTTTCTATCAATCACCTCGTCAGACGATTTTTAAGCATTGGCAATACATAACATAAAGCCAATACTAAGTGTACACAAACAATTTGTATGATCTCTTTCGTGACCATGGTCTTCCATATTAGTTTGTTTATTAAATGTATCACACAGTGAAACAGTATTGTATACTGGATGACGTTTTGAACACAATTTATTGTTCATAATCATATCATACCATGGTCTTGGTTTTACTATATAATCCAAATAATAACTTTGGTATCCTCCTTTATTCCATGTTCCATTTTGCTTTGTTTTATTTTATTTAACTTTATGTTATCATATTCTAACATTTTATCTAGTCTACTACTTTGACTACATTTCACTCATCCTACATCTCCACCACATTATATTCACATATTCACATTTCCAAATGTACTTTATTTTCCGATCATCTATTTCACGCATGTTTATAGAACTTTAAGTTGACCTCTATTTATTTAGTTATTCATTCATGTGTCTGATCGATTGTGACTCATAATTCTATGGTGGTGTGATACAGACAATGTGTTCCGACTATGAAAATGAAATCGTCGGAAAGAGAATTTCCTTCTCTGAATTCTTTGTTTTATGTCTAAGTGGGGATTATTAAAGTTATATAGACTGCTGTCAATGTTTAACACACCCATCTTAATTTATTTACTCTTAGTGTCTTTGGCAGTAATAAAAACTAAAATTAATACCGGAAGTCTTTTACCTACTGTGTAACTATCAGGGTTCTTATTAAAAATTTAATCAGCGCCCTCAATAAATTGCGAGTAAAATAACAACTGACCTTTGTTGTTTAAAAATTCGAATCTTGGCCAGATATTTTATCAAATTAAAGTCCTAAATGTTTAGTTTCAATCAGCACGAAACTACTCTTTGTTTTTTCTGGCACTAATCATATAGGTCGGAATATAAACTTAAAATCCGGCGTTATTTTTGAAATAAAAACTTATCTTATGACAAAATCAAAGAGTTGATTGTTAACTTAGTCAGGCTACTAAAGCAGACAAATTTTTCATCAAATGGTAACTGATGAAATTGTCTAGTTTTGATTATGTTGTTCGAGACCTATCGATTTAGCATTCCATTTATTCATTGAGTTAAAAACAGTGCTAAATTATCGCACAATATGTGGCTTGTACAACTGAAAAGACAGCACAAATTTTATAAGCGCAAACACGGATCGAGTACCAAAGAAGAGCAATGAAGACCCTTGTGAAACAATACAGAGGGGATGAAATGGAACCAAGCGACACGGACATGAATACTTTTTGCAAATCAGAATTTCAGTGTAAAGTTCCTTTATTTCATGAATAATTCCCAGCCGGATAATAATAAAAACGAAACACATAGTTCAGCAAAGAGTCACTTTTCCACAAATTTGTTTACTTAGCTGCACAGCTGTATTTACATACAATTTCTTCATGAAAGAGGGTAGTAACAAAGGATATGAATTGTCACAATCATAATTATTAATATTAGTCAATTCATAAGTGGATTTGAACAATTGTATTTCAGTTATGTATTAAGATGAATAATTTAATAAATAAGTGTAATCAGGATCCATCTAGAAACGAAGGAATAAGTGGAATTATGTAAGAGTTCTAAAGAAATGAAAAAAGCTATAGCAAGTTAGAAAAACAAACAAACAAGGTTGTAGCCATAGTAGTAGAAATAGTTGAATGATTTTGTTTCGTATGCACAACTCTAGTTTCTCCAACTGAATGACCAAGGCTTCAACAACCCAAAGGAGATGAAAGCGTATTACTTTTGACAGGTTGTTCTTCACTCTGTAGATTACTTTGAAGTAGTCATTTGTTGAGATGGAGTGTTCAGTGTTGACAAGGTGTTCGATTATCGCACTGCTTATAGAGCCGCCACTGTCTTTTTGTAGCCAAACTAGACAGTGTTCTTGGACCATTTTAGGCAGGATACGTGTCGAGCGACAAATATACCTGGCACCACAGCAACAAATTTTAGTGAAGCTTAGACATATCAATGCTTTATAGTGAATCAAGGCTCACCGATCTACAGTGGAAACATGTAGTGATTATGAAATTCCTAGCTTCCCTTGCATTCGAACAAAATTACAAAAGAAAAATGCCCTAAGTGTTTGGCACATATTGTTTAGTATTCACAAACTTTGTGAGCTTACTTATTCTTATCCTTTCATCTTCGTATGAGTATGATGTATAAGACATCTCTTATTATTCTTGTTGCATTGAAACAGTGTTTTTAAACTAAACAAATTACAATAACTACAGAAGCTACGTGAATGAATGAGTTTGAACGGAGAATACTGATAACTTGGTAAATAATTCTTCAGTAAAATGCTGTCACGATACTGATAAGAGTAGCAAAGGTTTTTTATTGTAAAAGATTTGGAGAGAATGTACTCATATCCGAAACGTCTGTAGGAGAATCAAGTAAACCTTTGAATACCAGAAAGGTAATCAGTACTAGCTATTTAGGCAGTTTAAAGGCGACCGTCTGGTAAATATAAATGTAGTGTACTAGAAGACAGTTTATTCACTTACTAACAGACATCAGTTTCATAAGCCCTATGTATTTTTTGGACACAGAAAAGAAAGGAAAGGGTTGCCACCTGTCCGATGGACTTCTTTTGTTAACTTATTCAGTGAATGGTACCTAGACTGTTTGTAACAAAAGAACACGATAGTATTTGGTAATAGAACTGTTTACTCAGTAAAATCATACATAGTGATGACGAAATACAGGAAAGAAATCTTCATCCAAAGTGGATATGCACCAAGAATATCAAATCAAAATTTTAGACAAACAGAACATGATTTGTTCAAAAAAGAAACTTTACATGAACCTGAATTACAAGAGAGACTTATTCGGCAATATCCTTAAGAGAATAATATCATCGTCTCTAAAAAGAACACTCTTCACAGCAACGAAAAGAGTAGAGTTTCCCAATCGTCCATTGGTATGCAGAAGCCTTAAAGACAAGACGCCGCATCTGAAAACTTCAGTGTGCACAAATTAGTACATTTGTTCTTGCAGAGCCAGGTATATTTATCGCTCGACACGTATCCTGCCTAAAATGGTCCAAGAACACTGTCTAGTTTGGCTACAAAAAGACAGTGGCGGCTCTATAAGCAGTGCGATAATCGAACACCTTGTCAACACTGAACACTCCATCTCAACAAATGCCTACTTCAAAGTAATCTACAGAGTGAAGAACAACCTGTCAAAGGTAATACGCTTTCATCTCCTTTGGGTGTTGTTGAAGCCTTGGTCATTCAGTTGGAGAAACTAGAGTTGTGCATACGAAACAAAATCATTCAACTATTTCTACTACTATGGCTACAACCTTAGTGATTTCAACTGACCTGACTTTTGTTGTTTGTTTGTTTTTCTAACTCCTTATAGCTTTTATATTTCTTTAGAGCTCTTACATAATTTCACTTATTCCTTCGTTTCTTTGTGCATCCTGATCACAAATCATTTATTAAATTATTCATCGTAATACGTAACTCGAATACACTTGTTCAAATCCACTTATGCATGGACCGATATTAACAACAATGATTTTTTGAGAACTCATTACCACTACTCTTACTAATCGTCACCCATCTCTAGGTACACTTAGATTATTCATTACATTTTTGAAATAATTTGATGACTAAAACAATAACTCTTACTAAATTTTATTCTTATCTGAGAAACCTGATATACATACATACAAAAATAATTATATATAATTGTGATTGTACAGCTAGATGAATGAATTCGCGGAAAAGAGGCTCTTTGCTGAACTGTGTCAGGATGGAGATTATTTATGAATTAAAATTCGATCAGTCAAGTGTAGAATGTGTCCCATAACCTAACTGATATGATATTGCAGTATGTTTTGTTCTGCGCTAGGTATTAGAAGTCAATCAACGGAGGGTTCTATTTGACCTAATTTCGGTACCCATTAGTTAGCATTGGCATAGTTGATTCGGTGACTTATCCTCCTTCTTTTATAAGGATCTGTATCACAATGTTTACCAAAAAACCACGATATTGATCATGAGACTGAAAATTTTTTATCCCAACTACATTTTTATCACGACTTTCTGATATAGTACTAACAATATGTCACAATTTGTAAACTTACGCCTAAGTACTGAACAGCTGTTTCGTCCAATTTTTGGACTCTTCACAGTACGCACCCCCTGCAGGGGTTTTGAACCCAGGACCTCCTGGTTACAAGGCGAGCTCATGGACTATTAAGTCACTCGAACCTGATCCAATGACCAGCCGATGTATCCTGACTTCTGCCAATTCACGACATAGCGTGATCGCTAGCCAATGTCTTCGGCGAGTATTTGTCCTCACACCCTACCTGCTGCACCCTGCTGGTCACGACTTCTCACTAGAAGCTAGGTGGGTCTACGAGCTCGTCTTGTAACCAGAAGGTCCCGGGTTCGAACCTCGGTGGATGCGTACTGACTAAGAGTCCCAAACTAGGACGAAACACCTGTCCGGTACTTCCAGGTTTTCCAATGGTTCTCTAATCGATGTCAGCTCATGATGAAATCCTGTGACCACTCAATCAAATCCCTACAAACGAATATTTGAATTACGACTAAGTAATTTGACTGTCAGGCATCTTTAGAAACATCTGTGGTATCGGTGTACTCTGACAGGCTTTTCATGCTCACTTATTGCTTCGATTTGACATAAGAGAATAAGTACCATTTCAAGTTTCTACGTGTTTCTCAGCGCTAATGTGCAAACTTATTACGTCTCCTTTCGTTTAAATTTGGTTTATAGATCTATATTGTTTTACAGAGGCTTAGAGAGTGCATAATATAGTTGGATTCTGAAGAGTTTAGTTCAATCTAAGCAGTTGGTGTATCACAGAACTATTCTGTATCACATCCATGGTTTACGCGAGTAGAATTCGTTTAGCTGCAAAACCATTCTATCAATCCACCCCACGTTGTACACAAAATATTGTAGTTTACTCCCGAGGTAGCCTTTTGTCTAGTGCTTAATAGCCCTTTCTACTTTCTCCTGGAGTTTACTGTGGTACTTGTTTCAGTTGTCGCTGAAAAAATCATTCATCTATGTAGTCTTCTTAGTATTGCGTAACTGCTCCTTGTTTCGTAAATTGAACTGCTTTTACAAAAACATTCATTCATTTTGCATTTTTATATCAAATGTGTGCAACTTTTATACAGCTTTTTTTAAAGTTTAGAAGTATACTATTTGCAACTGTGCGACTATTCATCACTGATGTTTCTCCGTCTCATTTTTCGGAATCGAATAATCTCCACCTATTAAACTTATCTAGGTTTTTCACTTACACAAAGATCGATCGATAGTAAATAAGAGCATTTTAATTGTTGTACAAAAATGTAATCCCTCGATTGTGATAGTTTTCATGCAGTGAAGATTTGTGTTACAAAGGGAGTTTATTAAAAATGAGTTTTTCATTGCATCTTTTGTACTCAAATACACAGTCAAATATCGAAATATACACACATTGGATCATAGAAATTATTAAAAAGACGGTTGCAGTGAAGAAAATTTTCTTTTTGACGATGTCTTCAACTAGGCTGTACATTTGTTCTTTTATAATAATAAATGGGTGGGAAAGTTCCAGAATAATTTCCGGTTAAGGGTAAAATTAATCAAATTACAATTAGGAATTAGAATGCCATAATAAACCGGGGAACGGATAAAACTCAAACAGAGTAGCATCATAATTAATGAGAAGATTGACATATTGTGCAATTGGGGGTTAGAAATGTAGAAATAACAAAAATAGACAGGATGTTTTGTCTGAAAAATCTAGTGGGATCATAACTAATGTGAGGAATAATTGTTCATGCAATCAGGGATTAAATATGTAGAAATAATATAATGACAAAAATGACAGGAAGTTCGCCTATGGGAGTGTAAATAGGGATTATGAAAAACTTAAAAATAACATGAATAAACAGGAAGTTTGGATAAGAAAGGCAATGGGATGGTCATTACTAAAAGAATTACCTGTTTATGTTGGTCATGGCAGGGACAAAGATTGGACGTATTTCTTTTGGATGCATGGCGTGGGTTTGAGTTTTTGGATAGCTAGTGCCTCGGCTATGCCCAGACGTCTTAATTTCACTCCCATTGATAGGTTTGATCGAATCTTGTATATTATTTTGAAGGATTTTTCGAATGTCCTGAATTGACCAGATGTTCTGTCACCGAACTATATACACGTTTTCGATCTCCTTTTATTAGCCCGGCTGGATAGCGTTCACGAGCGTGTTTTTCAAGTTGGCTCCTGTCTATTTTGTCATTATATTATTTCTACATATTTAATCCCTGATTGCATGAACAATTATTCCTCACATTAGTTATGATCCCACTAGATTTTTCAGACAAAACATCCTGTCTATTTTTGTTATTTCTACATTTCTAACCCCCAATTGCACAATATGTCAATCTTCTCATTAATTATGATGCTACTCTGTTTGAGTTTTATCCGTTCCCCGGTTTATTATGGCATTCTAATTCCTAATTGTAATTTGATTAATTTTACCCTTAACCGGAAATTATTCTGGAACTTTCCCACCCATTTATTATTATAAAAGAACAAATGTACAGCCTAGTTGAAGACATCGTCAAAAAGAAAATTTTCTTCACTGCAACCGTCTTTTTAACAGTTAAAAATGTATATATAACACTGAGAATTTCGTTAAAAAATAAAAGTGAATCTGATTGGTTTCTCCCATGTTTTTTTCATTGCTTTATAGATATTTGTGTATGGGTTTTAACAGTCTATTGGCTCATGCTTCTGTAAATCATATGCATTTTCATTTTTGGCAGTCACCAGATTACTTAAGAGCTATGTCCACGGTAAGTTTATTTCATTGAATTAACCAGGAGACTATACATAGATTGGTCACACGTAATCAATGTTAAAACAGTAGATTATTATTGTATCCTGGCATATAAATCTAAAATACCTCTAAATAAGCAATGAAGAGTGAAGGAGAAAAGAGTGACCTGAAGATAAAGGATATACTACGAATAATGTTCTACTCTGACTGTTGTTTCTTTCTTTTGGTGACTATTAAGTTCTTATTAACATCATTATTAGGATGACGTTTTTAATAACCATTTACTATAGTTTGGTTTGTAAAGGTTAGTTTTGTTTTTACGAGTTGATGACGGATTGATATCAGCTAGAGAACCATTGACAACCAGGGAGTACTAGACAGTTGTTTCATCCTAGTTTGGGAATCATCAGAAGTACGAACCCACTGGGATTCGAACCCAGGGCCTTCCGGTTACAAGGCGAGCTCGTATACCATTCAGTCACTGGGACCCGATTCAATGACTCATGAATTCCAACTTCTACCAATTTGTGATTTAGCGCGACTCCAACCATTTTCGTAGGTGCGACATCCATCCTCACAGTACTCCCTAGTTTTCAATGGTTCTCTAGCTGATATCAATGCGTCATCAACTCGTAAAAACGAAAATAACCCTTACAAACCAAACTATAGAAAATCAATCTGATGCTCGCTAGTAACTTGCTACAGGATGAAGTTTCCTGGAGTTCTAGTGAGAAGTCGTGACCAGTGAGGTCCATCCAGATGTCACGTGTGAGGATGGATGTCTCACCGACGACATGGGTTGGGGTCGCGCTAAATTACGAATTGGTAGAAGTTAGAATTCATGAGCCATTGAATCGGGTCCCAGTGGCTGAATGGTACACGAGCCTGCCTTGTAACTGGAAGGTCCTGAGTTACAACCCCAGTGAGTGCGTACTTCCGATAATTTCCGATGATTCCCGAAACTAGGATGAAACAGGTGTCTAGTACTCCCTGGTTGTCAATGGTTCTCTAGCTGATATCAATCCGTGATCAACTCGTAATAACCATTTAGACGAGTATTTGGTGACAGACAAGGACAAACATTTGTTCGGACACTGAATGTATTTGCTTCAGAAATAGTATACATAATTTGGTGCAGCAGGAACTAGTATCCTCTCTTTTATTTTTGTGGTCATGTTTTTATGATAATATTAGTCTTACAAGCTTCTCCAAGCTACATTTTCACCCAACTGAGTGATAGTATATCTCCTGTAAATAGTAAATTGAGGTTTCCTAAAGATAAGCGAATGTAGATACTTGTCGACCTCTATAGCCTCATCTATGTTTCAGCAGGGTCGTATGCTCAACCTTCCCTCTTCTCTGGGTTTACTTGCAGCTAGTAAACAAGGCAGGGGTTAACGGTGTGTCAGCCAGGGATCGAACCCGAACGACGTGCGTGGTTGGCGAGCATTCTACCATTGAACCACCGACTCTAGTACTTTATCTATTATCTTTTGAGAAAGAAATATTTCATCAGATTATTTCTTTTATAGGAAATTAAGCGGAAATATGAAAACCTAATGTATTTCGAACTGGTTGACCATCCTGTTGACAATTTTGTTCTCGAATTATCAAATTTATCAGAGTTGGATAATTTTATAAAGTAAGTTTTAACTTTTGATGTGATATTTAAAACATGTCGTTGACAATTCCATATTAGTTTGTTTATTAGATGTATCGCACAGTGAAACAGTATTATCATTTACTGGATGACAAGATTTCGAACAAAATTCATCACCGTTCATAATCATATCATTTATAATCACACGACTTCGAAACTTAAGTTTTATAGTTTTCTTTGTCCTCTCCTATTTGTCATCGTAGAGGTAGTAGAAATTTCCAGATAGCTAGCCGAAACAGGTGTTGAATCATTCCTATTACTTATATATGCAGTTGATTCGATAAACAAAGCTTCTGTTATCAATCTCTCCCTCCACCCAACTGTTACATTAGATTTTAAAACTGTCATCTTATCCCATCCTATTGTATGGTTGTGTGTAACTGCATGTAGTGAGCGGTATAGCTGAACTATTCTCTAGATTTCTTATCTTATTCGGGTCAACCAATCTAGATTTTGGTAGGTTTTTATGTTCGGCTAGTCTGATTGTCCCTGTTCGACTAGTTTGACCTAGATTTGTAAGGTTTGAATCGCCTTGAACGTAGGTTTCTTATTCAGTCAATATTGGCTAAAACACCTGTTCCACTTAACTTTGGGACGCTTCATAATTGTGTGCTCATAACCCTGTGAAACACTGAACTTTCAGAACACTCTAACGACCTGTGATTTCTAACTTTATTATTCCTGTAACTGACATCTTTCTTGACGAAGTCTATGTGCGTCGGTGGCACAGCGGTTAGGACTCCCGCCTACCATGCACATGATCCGGGGTTCGTCCCCCAGCCCACGCCTACCTGATATCTATGGTCGGCCTGCAAAATTCGGGCTACTGACATCACATGCTGAAAATTCCATACTTGTACCAATTGGTACTTGTTTTAGGACTCATGATTGGACAAAGTTTTTAAAAACAAGAGACGTTCCTTTTATATATAAACCTCTGTTATGTTAATTTCAATTAATTTCCCTGAAGAAGTTCGGACTAGATTGCCGAACGAAACGTTGGAATTACTCATTTCAATATCGCTGAGATTTTACAAATATATTTTTTTTACAAATGTCAAGCTCTTCCATAGGGTATCATTTTTAGATATATCATTGTTTGAGTTTCGGGGGAATGTCTGTGTGCCACTTAGCCAGCTTGTTAATATTCTGGTGGACAGACACATGGACTCATGTGAAAAAGGTGCAAAATCCATTTTATCTGACTCACAACACCCTCTACATTCACAACTCTCCCCTTGTATCTCTTCAGGGAAAACCAAAAGCCTATATAGGGAACTATATGCCCACACTAGTAAGTACAAAAACTCATCCATACCCTACTTAGCTCGTGTTCTGTGCGATAAAGAAAGCATTAGGCGTGAGACCTTTAACTTATTAAATAGTCAGTAGAACAACTGGATCTCGTCTTTCCAACTCATATCATTTATAGGTACAACGTTTTCTCTCTTTTCCTTTCTCTTTACCTTTTCTTTTGTCTTTGTTTTTGTTATATACTGTTTTGTTTCTCTCTTCCTTACGAACTCTACTTAAAACATTCTTGTTCATTCTTTCACACTCTGTATATCTCGACCATTTTGTTACCGCTTACGCCAATAAATATGCTAGCATCTACTTTTCTAACACTGTTTAATTTTGGCTTTGCTACCGACATGCTAATATGTTGTTGTCAAAACTAGCTGAGATAACCATAATCTATGTAGAACTTTATTTATTGCTAATGTACTAACTGGATGCAATATTGTAGTAAAATGCTGAGAATTCCATTCTGTATCACAAGTACTGTTTTGGAATAAAGCTATTATCTTATCTTACTCTGTTTTTTCCCAGTGAACACAACATTAAACAATAGTGTTCCTACAAACTCTCCGCTATATAATATGAATAAGGCATAGTTTCTTTACAACCGCTTTACAACTAACATGGTTCACAATAATAAAATAAGAAGCATGACAGTTATTCAGTTAAATAAAAAACAAAAGTACATACTAATGACCAATCATATTTAAATAGGTCAAGTAGACCATCGTAGGTGAAGGTTGAATTCTATTATTTTTTGCACACATAGTTTAATATGTATGTGATTAATCCCACAAGTGCTTCCATCACCTTTAATAACCAACCTTTAATTAGAGTAATGTGAAATAATTGTGAAGCAGTCACTAATATTGATTTTGTGGCCTGACAATAACACGTGCTTTGCAATGGATGATGATGGATTTTTATTCAGATTAATTGCATTGGGATTTTCTACTTGTCTTTTGGACGACATTGAAACATTCTATTGGTTCTACCTATACAGGTGTCACCGCAGCTGCAGGTGAACTTGTAGATACAGTTTGATGTAGAGTTCACAGAATTTCGTCCTTTAATCGTAGGTAAAGGGATCGAAAATGTTCGGTAAGTGAGAAAAAGAGATTCGGCGTAGAATGTGCGTTTGATGGCTGACCGAAGTTTTTGAGCCAGCTGTCAACTGCATAATCTCGTCACCCTTGAATGGTAGGTTAATAAAGATAGTTTTCTTCGGTATAGAAGCTGTCTTTTCTTGATGTGGTCTATCCTTACTGTGACAACTGATAAAGTTTTCTGGATAACCATTAGCTAATGAAGCTGGATGAATGTGTCGAAGCTCATCCATCCATATGATGTGTCGCTCGTGCATATTTTGCCCTTGAAAACAAACGTTCTATAATACTAAAAGCTTTATAAAAGTAATTATAAGCCTGAAATCCACTATATTAATAGTCTATATATAAAGTATGGTCTTCCGTATGGCTAACTCTACATTATAAGTGACTTGAGAACATCAAAAAGTGTTTGTATATGAACATGTGCATTGATCATCAGATAGTGGAAACCATTTTAGCTGTTTAGTCTCGCGTGTATGTGTGGATCGAGAACCCTACAAACTAACAGTTGAAAATTAAATCTATGCCTAGTGGAAAATTAAATTTTCTCACAGTCCAACAACCTAGTTTTCGGATAAATCAATACACAATAATAATGTTATTATTATTACTTTTTAATTAATTTCTCTATTTTCTCATCCATATCACGAAATAAGTGGAACTGGAACTATTTCTTTTGTTGGCCAAGTTAAACTTCCGACACCACTAACTACCAATCAGCGAACGACGTCGAATTATCCAACGAGATTAATGTGATTGGTCTGTCCAAAGTCGTTTGCTGATCGGCGTCGAAAGTTTAACTTTGCCCTTTTGTTTTTAGAAATTCCCTTCAATTAGTAGTCGACTGTACTTTATTCACCATTTTGCGTACTTTTATTAGGTTAAACAATAACATTGAATATAGGTTGTATATGTAAATAGATTTGATTAGTAAAAAAAGGCAACTGCTTAGGCATGCTAATCAATTTATGCGAATATCTATTCTTCCATGCGTTTATCACTCCTTTTTAACAAATAGCATACACTGAGAGTTTCCTAGTTTGTTATTAGAATATACAAATTACACCGTTTTCCCCAGCTCTGTACGTATATGGGTAGTGTTTCCACAGAACGCCTGAATAAATTCAAACAGACCAATTATTATTCTTATTATTACTGTTCCCTTGAGTTCCAATTGGAAAATTTTTCTTTTTGATTATAGCTTGATTTCACACGGTATTATTGGTATAAGTATGGAATTTTCAGCATATGATGTCGGTAGCCCAAATTTTGCAGGCCGACCAATTGGTATCAGATGTCCGTCGGCAGGGGATCGAACCCCCTAACCATGTGCATGATCGGCGAGCGTCCTAACCGCTGTGCTACCGACACTTCAACAACACATCTTCACCTTGTTCTATTTTCTACTGTCCTTTTTAACTGGGCCCAAATTTATCCATAGTCTCTCATCTCCTCCTCGCATGATCTTCGCCACGTCACCCTTGCACCGACGAAACACTTCGCTTCCCATTCGTGTTCCACTCGAGGTCCTGACGTGCGTTGTCATTGGATGGCCTCCTCAACGTATGCCCTATCCATCTCCATTTTCTCTGATATATATGTTGAGCGATCGGCTCTAGGTTGGTTTGTTTCCAGCCAGAGTCTCTTGTTACTAATTCTTTCTGGCCACACTTGATCTTCACTGTGGAGCCGGCGAAGGCAGCTGTTGATAAAAGTCTGTGACAGGCTGTTGGAAATGCCTTTCGTGACACGCTGGCCAAGTTTCTGTCCCCTATTTAGAAGAACTGACTGGCTTAACATTGGTGTTGAAAATCCGGATCTTGTTCTTGATGCTGCAGAGTGCAAAAGATTTTTAGGCCAATTTCTGATCGATGAAGTTGTGTCTTGCGTTTTCGATTTTAGCTTCCACATCTTCATCTCTTCTTCCACCTGTGGTTGAAACAATGCTTCCTAGATAAGTGAAGGAAGTAACCTCTTTGAGATTTCTCTTGTTTATATCCATTAATGCTGTTTGTAATTGCTGTTCGTTGGTTATCTTCAACACCTCCGTCTTCTGTATGTTCACCTAGAGTCTTGTCTTCGCTGCTTCCTCAACAAGTTTGTTGGTTTTGGCCTGGAAGTCTTCGAGTTTGTGTGATATATAACGGAAATCGTCTACAAAATCCACATCTTCTACAGTCTTCTTATCTGTCCAACGTATTCCGGTCTTCTGACTCCAGGCAGTCTGATGCATAATCCAGTCCGCCACAGTTAGGAATATCATTGGTGATAATAGGCAGTCTTGTGTTACACCTGTATTCACTTCAAAGCTTTCGTTGAGTTTCCCGCTGTGGACCAATGATCTACCTTTATGAAATATATAAAGCTAAGTCTGTAACCGTCTGTTCATTAGACAGCAAAGCATTATATCGTTTTACTTTAATCTAGACTGACCTTTACATATAAAATAATATATCGTACCAATGATTTGTACGTTTCCATTTCATTCTGTTCTCATCCTTCCTTTTTATCTGCTTCTGCAATTGTCCATAAGCTCTCATCTCATCCTTATACGATCTCCTCCATGTAACCCTC